AGCTTATATGCAGAGTACATCATGAGAAACGCTGGGCTGGATGAAGCACAAGCTGGAATCAAGATTGCTGGGAGAAATATCAATAACCTCAGATATGCAGGTGACACCACCCTTATGGCAGAAAGTGAAGAGGAACTAAAGAGCCTCTAGATGAAAGAGAAAGAGGGAGAGTGAAAAAGTTGGCTTAAAACTCAGTGTTCAGAAAACTAGTATCATGGCATCTGGTCCCATCACTTCGTGGCAAATGGATGGGGAAACAACAGAAACAGTGACAGACTTTATTTTCTTGGGCTCCAAAATCACTGCAGATGGTGACTGCAGCCGTAAAATTAAAAGACGCTTGCTCCTTGGAAGAAAAGCTATGACCAACCCACACGGCATATTAAAAAGCGAGACGTTACTTTGACAACAAAGGTCCGTCTAGTCAAAGCTATGGTTTTTCCAGTGGTCATGTATGGATGTGAGAGTTGGATTGTGAAGAAAGCTGAGCACTGAAGAATTGATGCTTTTGAACTGTGGTGTTGGAGAAGACTCTTGAGAGTCCCTTGGACTGCAAGGAGATCCAACCAGTCAACCTTAAATGAAATCAACCTTGAATAGTCATTGAAAGGACTGATCCTGAAGCTGAAACTCCAATACTCTGGCCACCTGATGGGAAGAACTGACTGATTTGAAAAGACTCTGATGCTGGGAGAGATTGAGGGCAGGAGGAGAAGGGGACGACGCGGGATGAGATGGTTGGATGGCATCACCGACTCAATGGACACGGGTTTGAGTAAAGTCCGGGAGTTGGTGAAGGACAGGAAAGCAACTGAACACCAACAACAACAAAAAATAAATTTTAATAAATCAATAAATAATTTTAAAATATGGATTGTTAAAGGAAAAGATCCACATTAAAAAATCTTTTAAAAAATCCCTCCGTCTAAAGTCTTCTGCTTGTGCTCAGTCAGGCAGTTGTGGCCGACTCTTTGCAACCCCAGGGACTGTAGCCCGCCAGGCTCTCCTGTCCACGGGATTCTCCAGGCAAGAACACTGAAGTGGGTTGCCATTTCCTCCTCCAGGGCGTCTTCCCAACCCAGAGATCAAACGCGGTCTCCTGTTATCACAGGATTCTTTACCATCTGAGCTACCAGGGAAGCCCACTTAGTGTGTAGATAGTCGGAAATACGGAATACACGGAAAGACAAGAAATTGAAAACTTTTTTTTTATTTTTTATTTTTCAAAAACTGATTTTTGGAAGAGTGACTCGGTGTTGTGGTTTCCTCCAAAGGTAATACATGAGCGCCTCTCTCTGTCTCTCTTTCTCTCTCTCCTCGTCTCTCTGTGGTAGAGCAAGTCAGAGGTTTGCCATATTTGATGAGCTTTGCTGGACTCCTGTCGCTGTTGACGTGGGTTCTCGCTCTGCATCAGCGCAGATCGGGGCAGCCCTTGTGATCAGCCCCAGTCTCCTCTGGACATGAAACCACCGCTCTTTGACAGCTTTCATGCCGATCGGTGATATAAGATGCCCGCGACCCTTGTGTATTTCCTGCCCGGACCTGGAGGCGTTTGTTCACGGGGGTCCTGGCCCCTGACAGCCACCAAGCATACAGGGGACACGAAATCAGGTTTTCTTGCAGAGAACACGCCAAAGACGCTAACACTTAACCGTTTGCTTTGTCCATTTCTGGACTTCTCCGCTGGCCCAGACGGTAAGGGATCCACCTGCCAACGCAAGAGACCCGGCTTCAATCCCTGAGTCCGGAAGATCCCCTGGAGAAGAAAACGGCAAGCCACACCAGCGTTCTTGCCTGGAGAGACTCCAGTATCCTTGCCTGGGCAATCCCATGGACAGAGGAGCCTGGTAGGCTGCAGCCCATGGGGTCGCGGAGAGTCAGACACGACTGAGTCATCATCACTTTCTCTTATTCGTTTGTGGATGACTGGTGATTTGCAACACATAAGGCAGAATAGCATATAAAACATGTCAGAAGTTTTAAAGTTATAATAGGTAATCCTACACACAATACTTTAAAATGTCATCAGCTTTCGCAGTGGGCATATTTTTAAGATTTTTCTTCGATGTGGACCATTTTTAGTCTTTACTGAAGTTGTTACGTTGCTTCTATTTTGTGTTTTGAATTTTTTTTCTTTTTTTTTTTTTTGGCCACAAGGAAGGTGGAATTTTAGGTCCATGACCAGGGGTCAAACGCCTGTCCCCTGCATTGAAAGGCAAAAGACTTAACCACTGGACCGCCTGGGAAATGCCAGATAGCACTTATTTTGAATTAACAAACAAACAAACAAAAATCAGTGGCCCCAAAGCTTTCCAAGGGAAGATTCCGCTCAAGGTGACTGTCATCTCTCTGTGATAATTCCCTCCTGGCGTCCTCGCTATTGAATAAAATTCAGTAATATAATTTGCTCAGATCAAACCCCACTTAAGGAGTCCATCCAATTCCCCGAGCTGCCAAGTCTGAAGGGGTTAATGCTCTTTTATGCTTGAGATTACCATTTTATGACCCATGCTTTGCGAAAGACCCATTATCATAAAATTGAGAAATCCCATCAAACCCCCCCCTCCCAGCTCCTGCCAAGTGAAAGAGAACAAGCTTTTTTTTATTCCCCCACCGGCCCGAACAAGTCAGACGGTTATGCTAGGCAATTACCGGGTGACCGTAGTGGTCTGTGTGTCGAGGATTAAAAATAAAAATTAAAGTAACGAGGCAAGCGTTGGATTTAAGGAAGTGCGGCCATACTTCATTTGTGTTTGTATTGAATAATTTAAACCCTCTATGCCTGCCCACACGCATCCACTTTGCCTGCCCACACGCATCCACTTGTGTTTGTAGGCTTGTTGTTGGGCGGGAGGGGGGTGGCGCGGAGACACGGGCTTCCTCCTTCCCGGGACGGGGAGGGTCTGGGAGCTGCTAATTAGTGATGTGATTTTTGTTTAATGAAGGGGAAGCTTGATCTGGGGCTGAGTCTGTTCCCCACCCACGGGAGGCGGAGGAAGGTGGTGAGGGAGGGGTCAGGTGTTGATTCACAGGTCATTCTCCATAGACGTAAGAAGGTCCTCCTCCCGGAAGGAGGTCTCTGCGGGGAAAAGGACGATTGATCCGGCCATAATTACGTGATCATCTTCTCGCCTCCAATCTGCAGACCCAGGCATGCGTCTACACATCCCACTTCTGGGTGTTAGGACACTCGCGTTCTTGCATCTCTCAAACCCACCCCACGAAATCCCAGGCATTTCTTTCCTGGTTTTGTCTTCCAGTGGTGAACGGCAGGAGCTAGTTTTGAAAATACCAGTGGTCCACCGTCTTGGGGCTTTTTTTGTTTTTTATTGGCCTATGGTGGATTTATCATGTTGCATTACCGTCAGGCGTACGGCGAAGTCACTCAGTTATACGTACATACAGACACACATGTATGTGTGTGTTCATATATGCAGGCCTGCATGCATGCCACGCTGCTCCAGCCGTGTCCGGCTCTGTGCAACCCTATGGACTGTACCCTGCAGAGTTCCTGTGTCCGCGGGATTCTCTGGGCAGGAACACTGGAGTGCGTTGCCATGCCCTCCTCCAGGGGACCTTCCCGACCCGGGGGTGGAACCCAGTTCATCTCTTGCATTGGCAGGCGGGTTCTTTAACACCAGCACCACCTGGGAAGCCCATAAACATACTCATACACATATACATAGGCAACCCACTCCAGGATTCTTGCCTGGAGAATCCCATGGACGGAGGAGACTGGCGGGGCTACGGTCCATGGGGTTGGAAAGAGTCAGATACAACTGCAGTGAGTAAATCGCAGACGTGTACATATACATAAATCCACTCCTTTTTTAGATTCTTTTACCATAAAGGTAATTACAGACTCTTGAGAGTTCCCTGTGATATAGAGCAGGTCTTTATTGGTTATCCATTATATGTTGCTGTTTTAGAGTAGAAAACGGCAACCCACTCCAGTAGTCTTGCCCAGAGAATCCCATGGACAGAGGAGCCCGGTGGGCTACAGTCCACAGCCTCACAAAGAGTTGGACACCAGTGAGCGGCTGAGCACAGATAACATACACACACCCTGTTGTTTAGCCGCTCAGTCATGTCTGACTCTTTGGTGACCCCGTGGACTGTAACCCATCGGGCTCCTCTGTCCGTGGGATTTTTCCCAGGCAGGAATACTGGGGTGGGTTGCATGCCCTTCTTCAGGGGATCTTCCTGACCCAGGGATCAAACCCATGTCTCCTGCATTGGCAGGTGGATTCTTTATACACACACACGCACACACACACACACACATAATGTTATATATACATACATATATATCTGTATATATACGCACATTATATATGTATATACACACGTGTGCACACATACATGTGCACACACATGCATATGCATGCACACACGCACACGTCTGTATGCACATGTGTGTATACACACGTGTGTGTGTGTGTGTGTACATGTATATATCAGTACTAGTGTGTATACCCAAGCAATCCAGGAGAATCAGTTGCTGAACTCCCGGTGTATAGTTTTACGATAAATGGACGGTATAAGGTGTGATTTCTATGGCAGAGAAACCACCACCACTTCTGATTCTCATGTGAGACCTTGCGGGTCCCTCATTAACCGACCAGATTAAGACAATCTCTCACCGGCTGACTAGGAATTTCACTCAATCCTGGGCTCACCCCTCCCTCCCAGAGAGCCCTTTGGGGTTCTTAAGACGGAAGTGTTGAAACGCGGCTCTCTGGATATGCTGTGTTGAAAGAGGTTTCATCAGGGTTTAGGGGTTTTTCTTTCAACACAGGAATCCCACTAAAAGAGTCCAGGGGAAAAGTTAAAAAGACATAGAGTGTAGAAAATGCAGCTCAAATAACTAGCTAGGGGGTTGCGACAACCAACCAGAGATCCTGCCTGCCCCTGTCTGCATGTCTCCAACATGGTGAGAACCCACTTTGTGTCTCTGCATCACCGATTCACTGGACGTGAACTTGGGCAGACTCCGGGAGATGGTGAGGGACAGACGGGGAGGCCTGGAATGCGGCGGTTCACGGGGTCGCGAAAAGTCGGACGCGACTTGGTGAGTGAACAGCAACAACAGATAATCCCAGAAGGGGGAGAAGCAGAAATGCAGTGTGCAGACTGGGAAAAAATATTTGCAAATGATTTATCTGATGCGGATCTGGTGTCTGGGGGATACTGAAGAACGCCTACAATCTGGCAGTAAAAAGACAACCGCACTGTTTGGTAACACAGGGTGGGCAGAGGTGAATTTGACATTCGTCCGACGCTGGGACTGAGTTTAGTGTTGCCTGGGCGCTGCTGCAATAATGGTTTAGTTTAATAGTGTTGGTGATTCGTCTAGTATTAATACTTAGTGTCAGTTTGGAATTAGGTTATGCTTCCTGTTAGTAATTAGCTCATGGTTAGTATTTACCTAGTGTCACTTGGGTATTAGTTTAGAGTTTAGTGTTTGGAGTTGTTACCTACTTTAGTATTGCTATTTAGTTCAGTGTTAGTTTTGCTTCCGTATTTAGTATATTGGTTTTGTTTTCGTTTAATATTAGTATCAGTTTAGTCTTTAGCGCTGCTAATTAGTTTAGTATGAGTACTTAGCTTTTTATGAGTTCGGTAGTTTGTATTAGTGACTAGTTCTGTATTCTGGTCCTAGTGCTGAGTTTGGCATTAATTTACTATTTAGAATTATTCATTAGTATCTACTTCAGTATTACTGTTGAGTTCGGTGTTAGGTTTGCATTAGCTTAATATTTAGTATTAGTGTATATTTAGTACTAGTAATTAGTTTAACACTAGCACTTTGATGTAGCTCAGATGGCAAAGAATCTGCCTGCAGCGCAGGAGACCTGGGTTCGGTCCCTGGGTCTGGAAGATCCCCTGGAGGAGGCCATGGCAGCCCACTCCAGTATTCTTGCCTGGAGAATCCCACGGACAGAGGACCCTGGCGGGATACGGTCTGTGGGGTCCCAAAGAGTCGGACACGACTGGGCGGCTCGCACGGCTGCTAACATGCATTGTAATATTACTCAGGTGTTTGTTAGCATTAATGTTGTGTTCTATATTAGCTTTCTACTCATTTAATACTAATATTATGTAGTAATTGGTGTTGTTACCTAGTTTAGTATCAGCATTAGTTCAGTGCCAGTCTGGTGTTTGCTTAGAACTATCATTTAGTTTTGGTTTTGTCTTTGTTCCACATTAACTCGATATTTAGTATCAGTTGAGGGTTAGTTTTTTAGTTTAGTTCTCGTGTTTGTTTCACATCAGTACTTAACTTAGTATTGGTGTAGCATAAGTATTTAGTTTAGTATATACCGCTAGCAACTAGTGTCGTAGTAGCATTTACTTTGTTATCAGTGCAGCATTTGTTTAGCATAAGTACTTAGTATATACAGCTAGCAACCAGTATTAGTATATAGTTTCAATCTGGTATTTGTTTAGCACTAGTAATTAGTTGATACTAGTAACTGACCCTTCTGAACTGAGGTGCTGGAGAAGACCCTTGAGAGTCCCTTCAATGGCAAGGAAGTCCAACCAGTCCACCCTAAAGGAAATCAGTCCTGAATGATCATTGGATGCACTGACACTGAAGCTGAAACTCCAGTCCTTTGGCCACCTGATGCAAAGAACCACCTCATTAGAAAAGACCCTGATGCTGGGAGAGATTGAAGCTGGGAGGAGAAGGGGACAACCGAGGATGAGATGGTTGGATGGCATCACGGACTCGATGGACGTGAGTTTGAGCAAGCTCCGGGAGCTGGTGATGGACAGGGAGGCCTGGCGTGCTGCAGTCCACGGGGTCGCAAAGAGTTGGACACAACTGAGCAACTGAACTGTACTGAACTGAACTGAGTAATTAGTTGAACACTACTCTGGTACTATTATTTTCTTCTGTGTTAATTGGGTGCTAGTTTAGCATGTAGCATTAACAATGACTTCAGTGTTAGCATTGGTTTAGTATCTAAGTAAAAGTGAAAGTTGCTCAGTCGTGTCTGACTCTTTGCGACCCCATGGACTATGCCGTCCATGGAATTCTGCAGGCCAGAATACTGGAGTGGGTAGCCTTTCCCTTCTCCAGGGGATCTGCCCAGCCCAGGGATCGAACCCACGTCTCCCGCATTGCAGGCAGATTCTTTAGCAGCTGAGGCACCAGGGAAGCCGGGTTTAGTATGCAGAGTGAATGTTAGTATTCTACCGGTGAGGGGCCCTCACTTGATGCATTGACGATCCATTCATCTGATTCTTTGACTCTGAACACTCTTGATTCTCGGCCACAAAAGATGCAAAATTAAACACTTCTGGGTCCTTCCCCCACCTCCCCTACTCACATGAAATGTGTTTTCTCAGTTAATATTGTGATTCTGCGAGAGGTATGTTGGCAACTTGAAAGATCACGCTCCTACACCCATTTCCAACAGCATCCATTGGCTCCTCGGTCTCATAAAATCACCCCTTGTATCCCCCGTCCCACCACGTCCTCCCCTCCCCCATCACATGACAAATGAAATTTGAATGGGTCGTTACGGTCCTCAGCTTCCCCTGCAACCTCAGACAGGTCTGTGTTTCACGTGCGTGCCGGTTCTGCTCAACCATAAAATCCAGGAACTGCCCTCACCGGTGCAGCGGCTTACATAGCGTGCGCTGTTGGAATGAAGTCGTGGAGAGGAAATGAAAGTCCAAACATTAAAACAGCATGGAGGGTGTGAGTTTGCAAAGCCCGAATAACGTTAGAAAAGCATCTGAACTTTCTGGAGGTTTTCCCTGCCTGGTCTGTGGAGGTGCCCCTCCTTCTGACTCTCCATGTGGGTTTTCCCCTCCATTTTCCTGCTGCTTGTTTTGGGTGTGGAAGTTGTTGTTCAGTGGCTCAGTCGTGTCTGACTCTCTGCGACCCCATGGACTGCAGCGTGCCAGGCTTCCCTGTCCTTCAGTATCTCTCAGAGTTTGCTCAAACTCATGTCCATCAAGTCGGTGATGCCATCCAACCATCTCGTCCTCTGTCGTCCCCTTCTGCTCCCGCCTTCAATCTTTCCCAGCATCAGGGTCTTTTCCAATGAGCCAGCTCTTTGTATCAGGTGGCCAAAGTATTTCAGCTTCAGCTTCAGCGTCAGTCCTTCCAATTAATATTCAAGTATTGATTTCCTTTAGGATGGACTGGTTTGACCTCCTTGCAGTCCAAGGGACTCTCAAGAGTCTCCTCCAGCACCGCAGTTCAAAAGCATCAATTCTTCAGCGCTCAGCCTTCTTTACGGTCCAACTCTCACATCCGTACATGACCACTGGAAAAACCATAGCTTTGAATATTCAAACCTTCATCGGTAAGGTAGTGTCTCTGCTTTTTAGTACGCTGTCTAGTTTTGTCTTAGCTTTTCTTCCAAGGAGCAAGCATCTTTTAACTTCATGGCTGCGGGCATCATCTGTAGTGATTTTGGAGCCCAAGAAAATAAAGCCCATCACTGTTTTCACCGTTTCCCCATCTATTTGCCATGAATTGATGGGGCCAGATGCCATGATGTTAATTTTTTTAATGTAGAGCTTGAAGCCAGCTTTTTCACGCTCCTCTTTCAACTTCATCAAGAGGCTCTTCAGTTAAAAATGAAGTGATCTCAAAAGTAAAGTTTCTATGACACAGTGTGGAGAATCGATGAGGTGGGCTTGCTTTTCTGTGGTTTAAAGTCCAGGTCTCCCCAGTGAATTCCAGTTCAGGAGTGGGGACAGCTTGCGCAGAGTCCAAGGAAGAACCAGCATCTACACGCTGCCTTGTGTGTGAGGAGGGTTCTACATCCCACACAAATAGAGCTTTCCCAGCAGCTTCCGAGGTCTGCGGTCCCCACGGACCAGCTGCAGGAGAAATGGATGTTGCATGACCCCAGAAGAACAGTGATGGGACTTGATGCATGAAAGCAGGAACCTTCAAAGTTGACCGTTTATCCTGGTGTGGACCACTGACCAATCCTCTGATGGCCAAAGTACACTGCCGGGGACAAGCGTTGAACAGGGTCTGTAAGCTTTGCCCCCGAGGACAAAGTCTCGGGGCAAAGTCCTAGTCTGTGCTCTGAGCCAACGTGATGTGACTTCAGACATTGCCATGAGACTGTCCGGTTTCTGCTTCATGACCCTATGTTCCTCTGAGGTCACCATTTACCATTTGCTGCCCCCTCTTCTCAAGCAGAGGTTTCCGATGTGGCACTCCATGTCTATGCAATATGATGAGAACTGTCATCTCGGAAAGAGTGAGACCAGATGCCTTCGAGTCTCCATGCTGGACAGCTAAAGAGACTGGCCATTTTGGCAAATCGGCTGGATCCCTTCAGGCCTGAGTGCCTTCCCCAGGACACGCCTGCGTCTCTCAAGTCAGTGGACTCAACTAAGGCCAGGCTGAGAGTGGGTTGACCTAGCTGACGCTTCCCTTGGGTTTACACCGTGCTATGCTGGTTTTCTGGGTTCCCTGGTATCTCAGCTGGTGAAGAATCGGCCTGCTGTGCAGGGGACCCGTGCTCAATCCCTGGGTCGGGAAGATCCCCTGGAGAAGGAAATGGCAACCCACTCCAGTGTTCTTGCCTGAGAAATCCTGCGGACAGCAGATAGAGGAGCCTGGTGGGCTATAATTCACGGGACTGCGAGTTGGACACGACTTAGCGACTAAACCACCACCATGGTGGTTGTCTATCCTTCACACCCTTGGTCCTCTTACCAGCTCGTTGATGAGGTCTCACAAACAATCCGGTTATTCTGTTGCCGCACCCAAGTCTTACTAACCTTCAAACGCGTTGTGAAGACAGCCTTCACGTCAACTGTCTTAAGCCGGCTTGGTCCAAGGTTTACGTGGGGAGAAAAGTGTGTGTCTTCACGACATTTCGCTGCCTCTTTGTCTCTTTCTGGGATATCGCCCAGAGGGCCTTCTTGCTTTGGGAGCATGTGTTCACCAAGCTGTGTGCAAGCATTTGACCCCGAGTGAATGGCTGAACTGCTCACACGGTGCAGAAGGGCGGGTGAGCGGGTGGTGGTGAGGGGGATGCGAAAACAGAATCGTTGCAACATGGTTTGAATAAAAGATGACAGTGGAATGAATTTAGAGCCGTAAGAAACGCAGACATTTCAGGGTCTCGGAGGACTCGTGTGAACATTTTTTTTTGCGGGGTGGGGGGGAAGGGTGCAGAACCGATTAGCATTCTGTGAGTTCGCATTTGAATTTTATTTCTGAACCGTGTCCCGGTGTCAAGGCGAGCGTTGCCGGGGTGAGCTCTGCAATAATTAAGTTTTGCATAAGCAACCTTGGAAATCTGGCTGCAATTGACTTTCTGCTCTGCACAGTTCCAGCGCAGATTGATCCTGAGAGTGGGATTGGTGGTAGAAATTAGGCAGCGGGGCAGGGGGGTGGGGGAGGTCTCTTCAAAGAAAACATTTGTGCCTCTCACGGCTGAGAGGGAAAGTCTGCCCTGGAAATGAATGAGATTCCCTGACTCCGTTTCCCTTTCAAGAAGGGAGAGTCGATGCCCGACCAGTGGTTAGCCACGGACCAGGTACCCAGGTGGAACATTAATGTGGGCATCTGGGGAGGCTCATCTGACCTGGGGTCTTTGTCTCTCTCCCTCTCACCCTCTGTCTAGCTCCCCTCTGGGTAAAGTTCTAGAGGATTCTCTTTGGTGTCTTCTGGGGAAACAGTGAGAAAAGAGATAAGGAGATAGGGATGGTCTCGGAGCCATTGTCTACCTCTTCCCCAGACGGTTCCGAAAATTCTGCTCACTCTCAGCCACCACCTCTGTTTCTCCAAGTGGCTTACCTTGCGGGATATTCCTCTGTCTTTATCTGACTATCATCGATATTCCTATCTGTATTTCTACCTATTTATCTAACATCTATCAATCATCTACCTATTGCCTATATACTTATCTATCATCAGTCAACATATCTATGCCTTTTTATCTACCTTTATGTCTACCTATGTCTGCATGCATCTGTCTTTAATGTCATTCATCTGTTTTTCTATTAATCTACGTATGTATCTATCAATATCATCTGTAACTATAACTCTATTCATCCACCTATTGCCTATCTACCATCTATCAACCTATCGATCTTGTCTACCTTTACATCTATCTACCTCTATATTCATCTGTCTGTCTTCTATCTGTCATTCTATCAATTAATCTACCTACTAGGTATCTGTCTATCAGTATCGTCTATAACTCTCTCTATTCATCCACCTATGCCTATCTATCATCTATCAACCTATCTTGTCTACCTTTATATCAATCTACCTCTCTATTCATCTGTCTTTCCTTTATCTGTCATTCTATTAATCTACCTACTAACTATGTATCTATCAATATCATCTATAACCCTATCTATTCATCCACCTGTTGCCTATGTACCATCTGTCACCCTATCTATCTTTTTGTCTGCCTTTGTACTTATCCACCTCCATATGCATCTCTCTTTTGTCTGTTATTCCATCTGTCAATCTGCTTTCCAGGTGGCCCAGTGTTTAAAAACCCACCTGCCGAGGCAGGAGACGCAAGGGACCTAGGTTCGATCCCTGGATCAGGAAGATCCCCTGGAGGAGAAGGTGGCCACCCACTCCGGTATTCTTGCCTGGGAAATTGCGTGGACAGAGGAGCCTGGTGGGGGACAATCCATGGGGACGCAGAGAGTCAGACATGGCTGATCACAGCAGAGACATATCTATCAATGTATCTACCTGTCTACCTACCTATTTAAAGTCTGTCAATCTACATGTCCATCCACTATCACCCATCTACTTATTTATCTACAATTTTTCAACCTATCTACATTTTATCTCTATATCTACCTCTATATTCATCTATTTTTTAATTCGTCATTCATCTATCTCCTTTCCTGCATGTCGTATCTGTCTATCCATGCATCTATCCACCCATCATCTATCTGTCTGGGTGCTAAGTCGCTTCAGTCATGTCTGACTGTTTGTGACCCCATGGACTGTAGCCCACCAGGCTCCTCTGTCCATGGGATTCTCCAGGCAAGAACACTGGAGCAGGTTGCCATTTCCTCCTCCAGGGACACCTTCCCCACCCAGGGACTGAACCCAGGTCTCCTGTGTTGCAGGTGGATTCTTTACCATCTGAGCCTCTGGGGAAGCCCTACATCTTAGGAGTCACAGTAAGAGGTGAGGTATGCAACTCTGATGGAGATCTGATTTTTTTTTTTTTTTAAAAAGAGTGGACACCTTTGAAAGCCTCAGATGAGACTTTCGCGTCTAAGTTTGAGCATCACAGTGTTGAGTGGCACTGAGTGTCTCGGACAGCTGGAGAAGAATGACAGACCCCTCTTACTGTCTTTCCATGAAATACACAGGCACCGCTCCATAGATAGGACAGACTTGTTTGGAATTATCCCAAAGATGACTCAGTTAAGAGCACTTCCTCTCAAGCCCACAGCCTCATGGATGCAATGTCAGCCACAAATCCCATGAACTTGTCCACCTGCTTTCCCTCGACTCGAAAGAATTCCCATCTCCAGGGCTCCCCTGGTAGCTCAGTTGGATTAGAATCCGCCTGCAACGGAAGGGGCCGAGGCTCGACGCCTGTGTTGGGAAGATCCCCTGACGAAGGAAACGGCCACCCCCTCCAGCATTCATGCCTGGAGAATCCCACGGACAGAGGAGCCTGGTGGGCCGCAGTCCCTGGGGTCTCGAGGGTCGGACACGACCCAGCGACCAAACCACGAAGCAGCCAGGGGTGTCTGAAACCCGTGTCCAACTTGGGGGTGGCGGTTATCAGACTTCTGTGTCTGCTGCTGCCATCAATCTGCTCCTCAGCTCAGCACTTATTTTTCTAATTCACCTCCAGATTCTTAATATTTATGGCTCCATAGAAAGCAAAACGCGCTTTGCCGGAGAGAAGGCATTCTGGTCCTTGCTGTCCTCTTCCCGCGACCGGGATTTTTCGCCGCTCCCCCAGCCAATCCATTTTCTGAAATATGTAAAAGCGTGCATTTGAAACATTGATGAGCGCGCATCGCGGGGCCGTGAATCAACGTATTTAAAGACCAGCTCTTATGGCTTGAAAGATACAATGTAATAAATGACTGCAGGAGTTGATTAAATAGTGAAACTCTGCCGAGGCATTTAATCTATCTCCCGCGCCGTTTACCAGGGGAGCCGGCCGCACGGAGCCAGAGCGGAGATTGCGAGTTATGTGACAAGCCATAAAGCGAAAAATAGAAAATATACTGGATGGAAAGTAATAACATTGTAATCAAAACGTATCTACTTTACACCGGAGACAAATGAGCGGAGAATAATTCCAGACGGACACACGGTACCTGGCTCCGGCAAGGGTGGGGGTCACTGCTGCCTAGGGAGGATTCTTCGGGCTGACTTCAGAGGACAGGACCTTCTGTCAAACTGAGGTCAGGCCCTAAGGTAATTCTGGAGACCCTCCCCCCGAGGTGTCTACAGGCCAAAGTCCCCGTTGTGGACATGATCCCTAGCCCTGTCTTCATGGCCATTTCCACCGCGTGCGTTGAAAACAACAGCCTCAAGTGAGTCCCTCCGAAGAAATGATACCGTTGCTGGTGGCGTGGTTTGCCTTGTTGGTGTAAATTGCTGACCAACCTGTGTTACTGACTGTATTGCGCGTCCTAGGGTGGCTGTAACCAGTGACCACGAACCAGGGCATTTTTAAGAGAAAATCCACCCTCCCCAGCCCTGGGGGCCACACGTCGGAGGTCCAGGGGTCCCAGGGCTGAGCTCCCTGCAGAGTCTCCAGGGGAGAGTCCTTCCCGCCTCTTCCAGCTTCCGGGGGCTCCAGGCGTCCGTCCCCGGGCTGGTGGCCGCCTCCCTCCCGTCTCCGCCTCCGTCTCCATGCGGCTTGTCCTCTGTGTCCCGGTCTCTCCTCTTCTGTGTCTTATAAGGACCCTGTCCCTGGGTTTAGGGCCACCCCCATCCAGGAGGGCCTCATCTCAGACCTTCACTCCATCACGTCTGCAGAGACCCTTGTTTCCAAATAAGGTCCCATTGTGAGGTTCCAGGTGTTTTAAGAGGGACATGTCTTTTGGGGAGGGGCCTTCCCCAAGCCTAGAGACCAGGTATCTGTGATCAAGGCGTCCCAGGGTTGATTACCTCTGGAGGTTTCAGGGGAGGGTCCTTCCCACCTCTTCCAGCTTCCGGGGGCTCCAGGCGTCCGTCCCTGGGCTGGTGGCCGCCTCCCTCCCGTCTCCGCCTCCGTCTCCACGTGGCTTCTCCTCTGTGTCCCGGTCTCTCCTCTTCTGTGTCTTATGAGGACCCTGACCCAGGTTTTAGGGCCACCCCCGCCCAGGAGGAACCTCATCTCAGACCCTTCACTCCATCACGGCTGCAGAGACTCTGTTTCCAAATAAGGTCCCATTGCTGGTCCCAGGGTGTCAGACATGAACATTTCGGGGGGGTGCGGGGGGGGGGACCAATCAACCCCTTACAGGGGGACACACACGTACACCCCCTTTCATGGGGTCAGGCACTTGGCCATGTGACTCCTGTATCCCATGCATGTCGATGGAGGTAGCCCAAACAGAAGCTTGAAATGCACCTGCATGCTTGGGTTTGCCCCCACTGTGAGTCTACACCACCGTGAGAAGAACTTGCCTTGGGGGTAGCTATTGCCCCTTCATCAGGGGTCCCGGAAGGAGAAGCGAGGAGCCCGGGGCACGCCCTGGGTGCACGCTGGTAGCAGGAGCTTAACAGATGCACGGGGCCGACTTGGGACTGTCTGTCCCCTGCAGCTCAGATCTGAAGCCCACGGTCCATGGTCTAGCCGAGCCCAGCTGGACTACAGCTGACTCACAAATCTCCTCTGAAAAAATATTGTGTTTTGGCCACCTTGTTCCAGGCTGATTTCTTACACAGTGTTCTTGTGGCAGCATCTGACGATCATTACAAATAGCATATTAAAAAGCAGAGACATCACCTGGCTGACAAAGGTCCGTATAGTCAAAGCTGTGGTTTTTATACATAAAGTCATGTATGGATGTGAGAGTTGGACCATAAAGAAAGCTGAGCACAGGATTGATGCTTCTGAACTGTGGTGTTGGAGAAGACTCTTGAGAGTCCCTTGGACTGCAAGGAGATCCAACTACTCCATCTGAAAGGAAATCAACCCTGAATATTCATTGCAAGTGTGGATGCTGAAGCTGAAGCTCCAGTACTCTGGCCACCTGATGCGAAGATCTGACTCACTGGAAAAGACCCTGATGCTGGGAAAGATTGAAGGCGGGAGGAGAAGGGGACGACAGAGGGTGAGATGGTTGGATCGCATCGCCGACTCGATGGGTATGGGTTTAAGCAAACTCCGGAAGATAGTCAAGGAGAGGGAAGCCTGGTGTCCTGCACTCCATGGGGTTGCAGAGACTCGGACACAACTGAGCAAATGAGCAACGGAAGAAAGTTCCAGGGCAACAGTTGAGATCCTGAAATGCATTGCCACACAACGTAGAGAAAGTCGCAAAGGAGACTTTTTAGTGCCTCGTGTTGCGAACTAGCTCCTCATGGCCTTAACGAAGAACATACTTGAGCAAATTTTTTTTTTAGTTCTTTAGGCCTTTTCCCCTACAAACAGAGCTATTTTTATGACAGTGATGTCGGCGTGCCCCAAACATCGCAAAATGATTACACACGCTCCGTCGCAAGATTTTAATAATTACGAAGACATCTGACTACAATTAGAACTTCCTGTCGGCCTGCCGAGTTGCCTCTGCGGGCTGAGGAACTGCGAGGCGTTCTTTATGCTACGGGGCAATTTAAGAACGAAACAGAGGCCTTCCTCCTGAGCAGAGGGGTGTGGGGGAGGGGAGCGGCTCTCTGGTTTGAGGGGGCTCTGCGTCCCACTGGCTATCGTCAGAAGGTCCGCTTGCTCAGAGCACGGGGCGAAACCTGGCGTCTCAGCTTCTGTCTTTGCAGGCTCTCCTCTGGGGTGGAGAGCGGCCCCTCCACAGAGACTCTTCTCATCATCATTGGACACAGAGCGAAGAGTCAGATGGCTTGGGGAGGGGGGACCCCAAATGAGAGGCTTTGGCCAGGATGTTCCGTGAGGGGGTGAGTCCCCAGACGAGGAGACAGACAGACTCAACACCTGCTCGTTATCCATCGCAACCGTCCCCAACCTTTTTGGCTCCAGGGACCGGTTTCGTGGAAGACAATTTTTCCAGGGACTGCGGGCTGGTTTCGGGATGATACAGGCACACTGCATTTACTATGCCTTCTGTTTCTATGATTAGGACATCTGTTTTCATCTCAGATCATCAGACTTGAGACCATGGAGGTTGGGGACCTCTGATTAGGAAGAAGGGTTCTAGAAGAACCTCAGTAGCTGTGTCTTAGATGTCCACCTAGAGATGGGCACCCTCTTCCCACAGCAGGAAGCAAGGAAAACTCCTCGTTGGAGCAGAGAGTCACGTGTTGCTTTCACGCTTCGCCCAAGGGGAGGTGTTGACCCATAGACAGGTACCACGGGAGCTGGGATGGATGAAGGATGCAGAAGCAGACGGCTCCGGGCAGCCCTTGATGGGCTGTGTTCAACGTTGTGTTCAACGTTCATAGATGCACAGTTAAGATGGACGAGGAGGTTCACGGGGACGTGAGACCCAGACTCATAACCAGGGTGTCCTCAGGAGAGAACTCTGGACTCCTGGGAGCTGACAGAAAAGTCATCCCGGGTGGAAAAATCAAACGGTGATGTTGTTTGAAGTGAAGTGTTGGTCACGCAGTTGTGCCTGACTCTCTGCCACCCCGTGGACCGTACCCCGCCAGGCTCCTCTGTCCATGGGATTCTCCAGGCAAGAATACTGGAGTGGGTTGCCATTTCCTTCTCCAGGGGATCTTCCCAACCCAGGGGTTGAACCGGGGTCTCCAGCATGGCAGGCAGATTCTTTACCATCTGAGGGACTATGGAAGCCCCAGTGTGTTGAAAGCAAGGTTTTTATTTGGGCAGAAGTGACCGAAATCAGGACAGCATGACAATGAATTCAAAGACCATCACTCTGCACAAACGTGGAAACTGCAGGTCTCCATGCAAAGAATTGGGAGGCCAGAGAGGACCTCCACAGTGGACACCATGAGAAGATAATTCTTAATAATTAGAGCGATGCGGCACCCTTAAAATATGGTACAGCCAACAGTGTTCTATGCTCTAGAAGGTTTTGTCTGAAAACTGAGCTTTCAGCATCTCCGTCGTTGGATGACGTGCTGGATACACATTTTAAAGTAGAGATTCATAGGCTTGGACTCTCAAGATGATGTGTAAATGATACCCCCCTATCCTTCTATTAAACTAGTGGGGAGAGATATTTATGAGACAGTCTCCCCCACACATAAGAGATTACAGGAAGAATTGAAGACAGCAGGAAGGATATTTCCCTCAACAAGGTTGCGTGAAAAAGATGGATGTAATTGCAAATAAGGAATTTATGAAATGCATTCGCTATGTTCGTCCTCGCAAGACAGTTACAGCGACAGGAGCCTCTCCAACCGCCCCCCCCCGCCCCCCACCCCCAACCAGGGACAGCACTGCTTGGGGTTTGTCGTGATGCTCTTCGCTTTCTTCTTGCCCCTGTTTCATGTTATTCCTCTGTGGCTTTTGTCTGTCTGTCGGACAGGGGACTCCCATATGAACCACATGAGCTACCAAAGAACCACCGTATGACCCAGCAATCCCACCACTGGGCATATACCCTGAGAAAAGCAAAACTGAAAGAGACACTTGCACCCCGAATGTTCATTGCAGCACTTGTTTGTTTGGTTTTTTAACAATGGCTAGAAGCAAACCTAGATGTCAATTGACAGATGAGCGGATACAGAAATTGTGGTCCATGGATACAATGGTACGGTGCTCGGTTTTTAAAAAGAACCTGTTTGAGTCAGTCCTAATGAGGCGGATGAACCCAGAGCCTACTGCACAGTGTGAAGTAAGTCAGCAAGAGAAAGATCAATACTATATATTAATGCATGCGTATGCAATCTAGAATGATGGTACTGAAGAACCCATTTGCAGGGCAGCAATGGAGATGCAGACACAGAGAAAGGGCCTGTGGACGTGGAAAGGGCGGAAGAAGGAAGTGGGACGCGTTGACAAAGTAATGGGGAAACACATGCACAGCCGTGTCCGACTCTTTGTGACCCCGTGGATGGCAGCATGCCAGGCCTCCCTGTCCATCAGCATCTCCCGGAGCTTACTCAAATTCATGTCCACTGAGTCGGTGATACCGTCCAACCATCTCATCTTCTGTTGTCCCCTTCTCCTCCTGCCCTCAATCTTTCCCAGCATCAGGGTCTTTTCCAGTGAGTCAGCTCTTCACATCAGGTGGCCAAAGGATTGGACTTTCAGCTTCAGCATCAGTCCTTCCAGTGAATACTCAGGACTGACTTCCTTTAGGACGGACTGGTTGGATCTCCTTGCCGTCCAGGGGACTCTCAAGAGTCTTCTCCAACACCACAGCTCAGAAGCATCATTCCTTCGGTGTCCAGCCTTCTTTATGGTCTGACGCTCACATCTATCATCTGTTCACGATCGCTGGATATATGGCAGAGGCCAACAGAGCACTGTAAAGTAATTATCCTCCAAGAAAAAATGGCAGGGGGAAAAAAGGAATTCAGCTGAAAGGACTTCCCTGGCAGTCCAGTGGTTAAGACTTCACCTTCCAATGCAGGGAGCGTGTATTCAGTCCCTGGTCAGGGAGCTAAAATCCCACGTGCCTGGTGGCCAAAAGAGAAAGCAGGAGCAATGTTGCAACCAGTTCAGTAAAGACCTTAAAATGGTCCATGTCAAAGAAACACCTTTAAAAAGATAAAAAGGAATTCAGTGGAAGACAGCTGAAATTTTTCTCCAGAAATGCAGAGGAAGGTGAATCCTGAGAAGCTATCCAAGCACACTGGGCTTATGGTCAATTCCCCCCCCACTGCCCCAGACCTGTGCACCTCTGCCAGGAATTTTAATTGTCCCAGAAATTATAGATGATAATTCCAGCTTATAAAAAAGTCTTTTGTAAAATTAGAACTTGGATTCGTCTTCAGAAAAAAGGAAACCCAAATCCCATTCATCTCGCAGGCGTATTTAGTATCGAAAAAGCAACCCGCATATTTGCATATAATATTCTAAATAAGAACCATCTGCTTGCAATACAGCTGAAACAAGGCAGAGTTCACATAAAACAAGAGTATCCCTTTATTAAAAAACATTTGCACGAGATGTTTGCGTGTAGGGATGTTTTTTTCCACATGTCCCAAGATAGTTGCTCTAAAATGGTTAATTTTTTTTTTTTTTTTGGATTCTATCATATCGAAGAAAAGTTGCAGGCATTAAAATCCAACACATTAATTTTGTCTCCCTGAAAACCTTCTGGCCGATTATAGACAAGCTCCTGGGGCCGCCCCACGAGTAAATTCACTTACTCTCATGATGTGGGCACATTCTCCTGTTTCTAATACACTGTGTAGCACTGACAGTATTGATCTGATGTTATTAGATATATTAAAACTCCAAAACTACTTTTGAAAATGTAATAATTCTGCAAGTTTTCAGAAACTTAAGAACGTTAAAAAAAAGAAAAAAGAATAACCCATAACCGAACGTCGGCCAAAATATAATGCTGTCTTATGAATAAAATCATCTTTAGATTCCCAAGAAAAACTCAGAAAAAAGTTGTCTGCCAGTTTCTAGCAAGGCACGATAAATATCTCTGCACAGACCCCTCTTCGAGGCAGAAATTAAAGGGATAGTATTGTCGGGATTAAATTTCTTCTGGAAAATTAGTGCTCCAGGAAATATCCCCAAAGAGTTGATTGACCCATGTGTTGAGAGTTATCCTTCATGTGATGTGAACTCACCGTGGCGTGCAGAAAGAGGAAAATGGAACCAAGGAAACATTCCTTAATTAGTACAATTATATCTGTCCATCACCAATTGGGCGGAAATTATAAACCCCTCAGAAATGGAGGAGGGACGTAAAAATCAATTCTTGCTTTTATCCCCCCCCCCCTTTTTTTCTGTCATATTGAAACTTCAATGCCCAGAGCTCCAGGGCTTTAAGAAGTCAAACTGAATACAATCCAATTAGGGTTAATTTGATGTCTCATTTGTGGCTCAGTGTGGTGAGCCAGTGACGAGGCTTGTGAACCCAGAGAGCACACAGAAATTAGCCTCAGTTGCACCGTGCTAGGTGCAACCCTTTAAGCAGTAACTTTTCCAATGAACTTAGCGTTTACAGGAGTGCAAATGATTAAACACACGGGGGCTCCGTGTGACCGGCAGACAGCTGTGTCCGGAGACCAGGCACTCGACCCCCTTAAGCAATGGGGTTCTGGATAGGAACTCTGTCTTTTTTTCCTGGAAACACGCCTGGTTTCCCAAGGGCCCTGTCCCAGAGTGCTCTCATGGGTAATGAGTTGGGGCCGGGGTGGCTGAGTTCTCTTTACATCCTCTGTCTGCGTCTTTCCTGCCCTGGGACCTTCTGCCGCTCTACCCTTCTCCAGCTGCCCAAGAACTCACAGTCATGTCGAGAAAGTTCAATTATGTCAAGATACAGTGTCATCCATTCATGCACCCACCCGCTCACAACCCATCCATCCATCCATCTCTCCACCCACCCATTCACCCATCCACCCATCCATCCAATCATTCATCATCCATCCACCCATCCATCTATCCATTCATCCATGTATCCACCTATCCATCCATCCATCCACCTACCCATTCACCCATCCACCCACTTACTCATCCATCAACCCATCCATCTATTCTCCCATTCTTTCACCCATCCACCCATCCATCCACTTATCCATCCATCTGTTCACCCACCTATCCATCCATCCACCCACCTACCCATCCATCCACCCACCCATCCATCCACCTATCCATCCATCCATCCACCCATCCATTCACCCATCCACCCACTTATCCATCCATCCATCCACCCATTCATCCAACTATTCTTTCACTCACCCACCCATTCATCCACCCACCCATCCATCCATCCACCCATTCATCTATCCATTCATCCATCTATCCACCTATCCATCCATCCATCCATCCATCTATTCACCCACCCATTCACCCATCCACCCATCCATCCATCCATCCATCCATCCATCCACCAACCCATCCAACCATCTATCCATCCATCTATTCACCCATCCACCCACTTATCCCCCATTCATCCATCCATCTATCACTTCACACATCTATCCATCCATCTATCCACCCATTCATATATAAATCCAACTACACTTTTATCCATCCATCCATCCATCCATCCATCCACCAACCCATCCAACCATCTATCCATCCATCTATTCACCCATCCACCCACTTATCCCCCATTCATCCATCCATCTATCACTTCACACATCTATCCATCCATCTATCCACCCATTCATATATAAATCCAACTACACTTTTATCCATCCATCCATCCATCCATCCATCCATTCACCCTCTTACCCATCCATCCATTCACCCATCCACCCATCCATCTATTCATCCATCATCCATCCATCATCAACTTATCAGTCATCCACCATCCAAGCATCCATCTATCCATTCACGAACCCACTTATCCATCCACCCATCCATCCACCCATCCATCCACCATCCATCATGAACTTATCAATCATCCATCCATCCATCCTCCATCCATCCATCCATGTACCCATCTATCCATTCACCCACCCACTTATCCATCTACCTATCCATCTTTCCACCCACCCACCCATCCATACACACATCCATCATCCATTCATCTATCTACCTATCTATCCATACATTCATCCATCCATCCACCCACCTACTCACTGATCCACCCATTTACCCATCTATCCACAAACCCACCTATCTGTCCATCCATCCACCCACTCTTGGTCACTGAGAAACAAAAGAGACATCTTCCCCTTCCTCATAAACAGTCCAGCACCCCCTCGGTCACAGCCAGCATTATCATACGGAGCCATACTAGCAAGACGAATGATGTAACATGGGGCCCAGAGATGCATCCACAGAGGCCCCATGGGAAAGGCAGAAACACGCCTGGTCTCCTCACTCAGCAGCTAAAAGAGGAACATGGAATCAACCAGCGTACAATCGTGCATATGACAGATGTGCCATCTGGACCCCGCTGTATCATTTATTTTTAATAATTTTAAATTAATTAATTTATTTGACTGCACTGGATCTTATGGAATGTGGGTCCTTTAGTTGCAGCATGTGGAATACAGTTCCCCAACCAGGGAGCAAACCCAGACTGCCTGCATCGGGAGCATGGAGTCTTAGCCACTGGACCACCAGGGAAGTCTCGACCCCGCTATATTTTTTAATGAAAATCTTCCCAACTTGCATAAACATGACTTCTCAGTGGACTTCTGCCTCTTCACCACTTCTCAGCGGGCAAATTCCTGGGGGTGTGCTTTATGGAATCCCTATCAGTAAGACATTATTTGGAATTACAAAAAAAAAAAAAAATTAAAAGTGACCCTAGGGAAATCTCTCACATGCATCCTCTTAAAGATAGCCAGCTTGCATTCCACATCAGCAAAACCTTCTGAAGCTTGGGGCAGGGCGGGAGGCCCTACAGGAAGGTGGTAGCTGCCGTGGGCTTTTTCCGGCTTGACTGACAGGCCCAACAGGTACCATCTTCTCCCTCTTGGCTTTTTCAAGAGATGTGTCTGGGGTGCAGGGACCTGCAAGTCTGCTTTCCGTGAATGGTGAGTGGGTAGGAAGAAGGACATCTCCAGGAGGGAAGAGTCAGCATCTCCAGGTGCCTCACTTCTCCAGAGAAATGCTTCCCCTTGACTGTGTGTCTCCTTTCTCCTCTGAAGTTTTGCAGGTAAAGGTTCTCATTTATAAAAGTGGTTATAGGCTTGGGTGAGAGCTGGACTGTAAAGAAGGCTGAGCACTGAAGAACCGATGCTTTTGAACTGTGGTGCTGGAGAAGATTCTCGAGAGTCCCTTGGACTGTAAGGAGATCCAACCAGTCCATCCTACAGGAAAATCAACCCTGAATATTCATTGGAAAAACTGGTGCCGAAGCTGAAGCACCAATCCTTTGGCCACCTGATGCAAAGAGCAGCTCAATAGAAAAGACCCTGATGCTGGGAAAGATTGAAGGCAGGAGGAGAAGGGGACGACAGAGGATGAGATGGTTGGATGGCATCACTGGCTCAATGGACACGAGTTTGAGCAAGCTCCGGGAGTTGGTGATGGACAGGGAAGCCTGGTGTGATGCAGTCCATGGGGCCGGAAAGAGACACGACTGAGGACTGAACAATGGACTTCAATACTGGGATGCCTGTGGGTTTGCCCTCAGAGATGCCAAACCTGGGTGGCTGGTATGGTTTCCCCTTGGAGATGACCAGTTACCTGTCATTGTTTAGTCGTTCAGTCATTTCCGGCTCTTTGCAGCCCCATGGACTGTGGCCCGCCAGGCTCCTCTGTCCATGGGATTCTCCAGGCAAGAATACTGGAGTGGGTTGCCATTTCCTCCTCCAGGGGATCTTCCTGACCCAGAGATAAAACCTGCATCTCCTGCATTGGCAGGTGGGTTCTTTACCATCTGAGCCTCCTGGGAAGAACACAATTCTGTGTAGCTGGCACGGTTTATCCTCAGCTCACAAAGGCACCCCCATCTCCCACCCCCAAGGGGACCATCTCGAGTCCCCTGACGACAGCTGGCTGCTCAGCAGCTCACCCTGGTCCTTCCCGGAATCTCACTTCCCTTCCCATCATTGTCATTTCCAAGCTGCGCTGTACCTTCACGTCTCTCTTCGAGGCGTTTATGACCCCTGCTCACCGCACATCCTCCGTCCAGAGTATCAAATCCGGCGTCTCTTCCCGCCGTTAATGAAACTACAGCAGAACCGCGGGTCCTTCCCAGAGGTCGCCCAGCTGTCCTCCCCGCATCCTCCCAATCTGACGGGGCGTCATTAACGATGACTCCGCCGGGCTTGACTTTTCAGACAGCGGCGGCGTAACGATGCTGCCTTCCGATGTCTTCCTAGTTTCTCGCTGAGATGCTGGGGCCGGGCTCTGTTAGGTTTTAATAGGATTCAACTGCGGCCGGTTCAACATTCCCCCCTTCCTCCCTCTCTGGATTTTTCTCACCCTGAAACGAATTCATCTCTTTGACAGGATTCAGGTGAGAAATTCCAAGTGCGGTGTCTTATGATTGAATCACTCACGGAACTCGAAGGCCCCCTTTGATAACCTAAATGTCGTTGCCTTGAAGGGCTTCCCTGGTGCCTCAGATGATAGAGAATCCGCCCGCAGTGTGGGAGACCCGGTTCGATCCCTGGGTTGGGAAGAGCCCCTGGAAGAGGGAACTGCAACCCACTCCAGTATTCTTGCCTAGTGAAACGGATACTTAATTCTTCTCTGGAAGAAAACTAAATGGCTGGGGACACTCCTGGCAGTCCATTAGTTAAGAGGTTGCCTTCCAGTGCCGGGGTTGAGGGTTTGATCCCTAGTCAGGAAGCCAAGATCCCACGCGCCTTACAGGCAAAAAGCCAAAACAGAAAACAGAAGCAATATTGTAACAAATGGAGTAAAGACTCAGAAAATGGCTCACATCCAAAAAAAATAAACTAACTTAAAGGCAGTGGCTTCCCCGGTGGCTCAGTGGTAGAGAATTTGCCTGCAAATGCACGGGTTCAATTCCTGGGTCGGGAAGATCCCCTGGAGGAAGAAATGACAACCGGCTCCAGTGTTCTTGCCTGGAGAATCCCACGGACAGAGGAGCCTGGCGGTCTGCAGTTCATGGGGTCACAAAGAGTCTGACATGATTGAACAACTGAACAACAACAAAATAGCTGATTTACAAAGCTGTGTTCGTTTCAGGCGTATAGCAAAGTGATGCACTTAAACTTAGGCATACACGCATTTTTTTCCTTTTTATTTTCCCTTTGTAGGTGATTCCAAAGTATTGAATAGAGAGAGCGTAGTTCCCTGGGCTATATGGTGGGGGCTAAGTCGCTTCAGTCGTGTCCGACTCTTTGTGACCCCCATGGACTGCAGCCCGACGGACTCCTCTGTCCACCTCATTCTCCAGGCAAGAATCCTGGACAATCCTGGGTTGCTGTTTCCTACTTCACGGGATGTTCCCGACCCAGGGATTGCACCCAGGTCCTGTGCATTAGCAGTCAGATTCTTTACCTTCTGAGCTACCAGGGAAGTCATATCTATCTATCTATCTCTGCATACATACATACATATGTATGTGTGTGTAATATGTATGTATAACTGAATGACTTTAACGTGTACCTGAAGCTAACACAACATGATACATGAATTACCCTCTAATATAAAACAAAAGTAAATTTTAGAAAAGAAAACAAACTTAGTCAAGGAGAAAAGGGGTGAGAGGAGGAATAAATGATGAGTTTGGGAGTAGCAGATACACACAATAAGACATATAAAATAAGTAACCAGCAAGGACCTGCTGGACAGCCCAGGGAACTCTGCTCAATACTCTGTAATAACCTGATGGTCCCCAGGGGGAAGGATGGGGGAGGGACAGTCAGGGAGTCTGGGGTGGACGTGGACACACGGCTGTGTTTAACATGGAGAACCAGCAAGGACCTGCTGGCCAGCTCAGGGAACTCTGCTCAGTACTCTGTGATAACCTTATGGTCCCCAGGGGGAAGGATGGGGGAAGGGACAGTCAGGGAGTCTGGGATGGACATGGACACGCTGCTGTATTTAACATGGAGAACCAGCAAGGACCTGCTGGCCAGCTCAGGGAACTCTGCTCAGTACTCTGTGATAACCTTATGGTCCCCAGGGGGAAGGATGGGGGAGGGACAGTCAGGGAGTCTGGGATGGACATGGACACACGGCTGTGTTTAACATGGAGAACCAGCAAGGACCTGCTGGCCAGCCCAGGGAACTCTGCTCAGTACTCTGTGATAACCTGATGGTCACCAGGGGGAAGGATGGGGGAGGGATAGTCAGGGAGTCTGGGGTGGACGTGGACACATGGCTGTGTTTAACATGGAGAACCAGCAAGGACCTGCTGGCCAGCCCAGGGAACTCTGCTCAATACCCTGTAATAACCTGATGGTCCCCAGGGGGAAGGATGGGGGAGGGACAGTCAGGGAGTCTGGGATGGACATGGACACACGGCTGTGTTTAACATGGAGAACCAGCAAGGACCTGCTGGCCAGCCCAGGGAACTCTGCTCAGTACTCTGTGATAACCTTATGGTCCCCAGGGGGAAGGATGGGGGAAGGGACAGTCAGGGAGTCTGGGATGGACATGGACACGCTGCTGTATTTAACATGGAGAACCAGCAAGGACCTGCTGGCCAGCTCAGGGAACTCTGCTCAATACTCTGTGATAACCTTATGGTCACTAGGGGGAAGGATGGGGGGAAGGACAGTCAGGGAGTCTGGGATGGACGTGGACACGCTGCTGTGTTTAACATGGAGAACCAGCAAGGACCTGCTGTCCAGCCCAGGGAACCCTGCTCAGTATCTTATACTAACCCATAATGGAAAAGGATATGAAAAAAAGATGCATACATGCACATTTGTATAACTGAATCACTTTGCTGTGTACTTGAAACTACACAAACATGTAAATCAACTATGCTTCAAAAAATAAATAAATAAAATTGAAAAGAAAAAAGAAAAAAACAGACGCAGACCTGACTGAATTCTCCATGGAGCCACGCAAACAGAAATGAACATCTAGGTACCATCTGGGGCCTGTTCCTTATTCCTCCAGGCATAGAGATAATGAACCTACCAAGAAAAGACCTCACGGGGCTGTTGGTTCAGAACTCACCCTGACCAGGGGCTTGGCCCCTGCGGCTCGCACTTGGCAGAGGCCCCAAGGCAGGCAGAGGAGAAGGAGAGCTGTGGAGTGGAAGTCCTTAAAGAAAAGAAAGAGGTCATCTCGGGCGGGAGCAGTCTTCCTGTCTGTTTCCTGTAGGGACGAAGCATCTCAGTAAAGAGCCTCATGCTCCCTGAGGTGGGTGGGCCCCGTCTCATCAGGTGACTGCCCACATAGTGAGAAAAGGTGGGGGGTGGATAATTCTTGGTCTCTCTGTCTCTCTCTGTCTCTCCGTGTCTGCCTCTCTATCTTTCTAGGTCTGTCTCTCTCTACTTGAGCTAGGACACTGTCTTCTCCCACCCTCCAGGCTTTCTCTTTGGACTGAATATACCACCAGCTTTCCCTGCGCCTCCTGCTCGCAGATGGCAAGTGGAGTGTGGTCTCAGCCTATTCCTAAGATCCATCGTGTCTGTGCGTGCTAAGTTGCTTCAGTCGTGTCCGACTCCGGGCCACCCCGTGGACTGTAGCCCGCTGGGCTCCTGTGTCCAGGGGATTCTCCAGGCAATAATAGTGTGGTGGGTTGCCATACCCACCTCCAGGGGAGCTTCCTGACGCGGGGATGGAACCCACGTCTCTCGGGTCTACTGCACTGGCAGTTGGGTTCTTTACCACTAGCGCCACCTGAGAAGCCCTAGATACATACTATCCAGGTATACATGATACAGACTAGACATCTCATATGTATCTAAATTCAGCCTGTGGGTTTTATTTCCCTGGAGAACACTCACTGATACTGTATATGTCTCTGGAACTTAAAGGAATAGGCACTCCTCCCAAATATGCTCACACGTCCCCGTTACTATCTCGGGGTGCATCTCACAGCAATGAATGGCCCCGATGATATATGGATAAAATTATGTCTATAGAAGGTGCATTCAGGCCCCTCCCAGCCAGCCTTGGGAAGTTCAGTCCTTAAAGAGTAGAGGTGTTTCCTGACCCAGTCCCCATTTCTGTATCCAGAGAGATGCCGGCCTATTTACACACCACAGACTTCCAAGGAACGACTGTATTTGTTTTCATGTGCTATCTGCAAGCTTTAGGCAGCACCCCAGCCAGCTATGTTGCAAGCCGCTATTTTTTTTTTCCAATGTGAGTAAAGTGGACCTTTCACTATATTTACTTTTTAAGAAAAATCTCCCTCCATACAATGCCATGCATTTTGCAGGAAGCCTGTCTCTTCCTCTCCCTGTTTCTTTTTGTTTGTTTGTTTGGCTTCTAATGAGGCAGAAGATAGCTATTTTCGAGGCAGGCATGGCAACCCACTCCAATGTTCTTGCCTGGAGAATCCCATGGACAGAGGAGCCAGGTGGGCTACAGTCCACGGGGTTGCAAAGAGCCAGACACGACTGAAGCGACTTGGCACGCACACAGGCGTAGTCATTTTCAAACATGCCCTTTTAATTGAGACAAAACCAGCCATGAGATTGTTCAGTCCATTTACTAGTCCAGCCGAAAATATATTTTATTCAGACGCATGCATGTTTTTTCTGCGCCACCCTCCCCTCCTCCCGTGCCCCCAAAACACGGTGAGTGGAAATGAAGCCATATGAAAACGAACTCCTGTCTATGAACTATTTCCACCGCGGAGCTGGGATCCTGTCCACAGTTTTTGCTGTACAGGGCCTGGCCGGCAGGCTGCATAATCAGCCTTCTATGGGGACCCATCAATTCTTGCATGATTTTCTCATGCACCAAATGCATGGACTTCATATCCCAACAATTTGAATTAAACCTTTCCTTAAAAGCTTACTGATTTTTTTTTCCCTCCACGGACCCATAAAAGGGTGGCTGAACATTCATTTCCCTACAAAATGCCAGCGCTTCCGTTCAAAATAAGATGCAGGCATTGTTGAGTAGAAGAACATTTTTATCATTCTTTGAAGATGTGGGGGTATGAATGAGAGCTATCTAATAAAAAAAGATTCCAGTGACTACATTTTTTTTCTTAGATGGTCTACCAGAAATAAGCAATCTCCACATGCAAGTTTTTCTCTCTCTGTAATTTTTTTTGTAGAAGGGGAGTTTGTTCAGATGTTGTTTGCACAGAACTGAAACGATACTAATTCCAAGGCAATCTTAATCAACTTTTAACACACGGTATAAATATTAGGATTGCTGACGACAGTAGGAGATTTTGTTTTCACTTTTGTTCCTTAAACAAGGCAGGCTGCTGGTGCTGCTACAATTTGGACTCGAATAGTTAAAAATAGCCTGGAAACATTTTGAATTAAATTAAAATAGCAACTGTCACCTCCTTTTCTTGTCAAGTTCAGGATCGCCCAGCGTTTGCATGTGCTGATTTCTGTCCCTCGCCACCCTCCCGCAAATTGGCAGAATCGTTGGCGTTGTCCATAAAAGTGGTATCAAGAGATGAATTCCTGTATGCACATGATTTACTGGTTTCGGTTTAATTTTAGAAAATCAAGGCAGAGGAGGGGGGCAGACAACTGGCTGCAGTGGGCGTTATTACCTTGTCGGAGGTATTGTGTGTGTGAGCAGGTGTGTGCAAACACACGTTTGTGTGTGATGTGGGCGGCACGGGGGTGTTCTGAGAAGGGACACATGTTCCAGGCGGGGCTTTACCACCCTGGGGGAAGCGGGCTTGCCTGGGGACCCACGTTCCAGCCAGACGGTCAGTGGACCCGAAGGAACCCCTCCACGCTGGTGTTTCAGGCCACGTGTCTTTACTCGCCGAGACACTGGGCCCGGACTGATTTTGGAGCTCGGTGAATATTTTCGAAAGCAGTCTCGACACGCAACCGCGCTCCGCAGCTCTGCTGTAAAAATTTGTTTTGAAAATGCGAATGTGTTCCAGTGCAACTGATCTCTATTAGAGAAACAAGTTGGACCCAACGGGAGTTCTGCATTTGTTTATGCAAAAATTGCATGCTGGAAAGAAGAAGGCGAGGTGAGTGCAGACAACAGCACACGGGTAAAAACAAGGCCTTAGAGGAGAAATACACGGACAGCGTACACTGGGGAGGGCACGCCTCCGGAATCAACCAGGGCCCTTTGTTCACGGGGATATCAGGGAGGGCCCCGCCTCTCCACGTCCGGGGTTACACCTTTCTGTCTGAAAACACACAGAGATTTTCTCCATTTCCTCACCTAAGGCTGCAACACTGCTGGTGCCCAATTCCACCAGCAAGCCCCAAATCGGATCCTTTCTCAGGTCCAATGCCACAGGCAGTGAAACAGGGAAGCATGTCTTACCTGTTTAGCAAGTATAAAATCAAACCAGCATTTTTTCTTAGAGTCCTACCTTCTTCGTTTATTTATCTTTAATTGCGGGATAATGGCTTTACAATATTGTCTTGGTTTCTGCCGTCCGTCAGCATGAATCAGCCATAGGTACGTGGTCTCCCCACCTCTTGAGCCTTCCTCCACCGCCCCCCCCACCCCTCCAGGTCGTCATGTGAACGCCTGCGGTGTCGCTTCAGTCGTGTCTGACTCTCTGCGACCCGCGTGGACTGTAGCCCGCCAGGCTCCTCTGTCCGTGGGCTCCTCCAGGCAAGAACACGGGTTGTCACAGAGCCCTGGACTTCAGCTCTCTGGGTCACAGAGCAAATTCCCACTGGCTAGGTAATTTTTAGGTGGTAATGTCTATGGGTGCCCCTAATCTCGTTTCCCCTCATCACATCTGTGGTTAGGCAGTGATTTTGCACAGCGCATTGATTTTCCAACACGCATGTATCTATTGGAGCAAAACCGACTTCCGTATCTCCTTTAAATTTCAGTTTTCTCTCACTTTGAATGATTTCTAACTTCTGTGTCTGCGAAAGCGGAAGACGAGATTGCATGTTATTCCGTGTGGGCTCAGTTGCTATGTTGTGTCCGGCTACGTGTGACCCCGCGGACTGTATTCCGCCAGGCTCCTCTGTAGGATTTCCCAGGCAAGAATACTGGAGGAGGTTGCATGCCCTGCTCCAGGGGATCTTCCCAACTCAGGTATCGAATCTAGGTCTCCCACGTTGCAGGTGGATTCTTTACACTCTGAGCCGCCAGGGAAGCCCAACAATACTGGAGTGGGCAGCCTTTCCCTTCTCCAGGGGATCTTCCCGACCCAGGAGTCAAACCGGGGTCTTCTGCATTGCAGGCAGATTCTGCACAAGCTGAGCTACCACGGAAGCCCATGGGTATGTATAGGTGACCCAAACTGTATAGGTCACCTCAATAACATGGGGCACCCCAAATAGATATGATATTGCAACTACGTGGGGTACCCCACCTGCAAACGTTACTCCAACTCCACAGGTTACCTCAATCACATGGGTGCCCCAAATATACAGGATACTCCAACTATCTAAGGTACCCCAACATATATAGGACACCCCAACTATATAGGGGGCATCTCCGGTGGCTCAGTCAAGAGCCCACCTGCCCAGGCAGGAGATGCAGTTTTAATCCCTGAGTTGGGAAGACGCCCTGGAGGAGGACACGGCAACCCACTCCAGTATTCTCAGCTGGAGAATCCCGCGGACAGAGGAGCCTGGACGGCTACGGTCCACAGGGTCGCAAAGAGTCGGACACGACTGAGTGACGGAGCTCACACACAACTCGGGTATGTGTGTATAGGGTACCTAGCTACAGGGTACCCCCACCCGAGTAAGGCATCATAACTACATACGTTATGTTAATAACCCAGGGTACCCCAAGGACAGAAGACAGCCCAACTACAGAAGGCACCCCCGCTACCTAAGTTA